TTTTTTAATATTTGGCACTTTTACTTGCATTTTATTTGGGTTTTAATATTTAGTGTTTGGTAACACTATGAATATTCATTCGTGTTAGGTTTTACTTTTTCTTTTATTATAAGCAACTTGGATTTGACTCTTTATGGGATCATTATATTGCACTTTATATTTGGACATTACATTCATATTTTCTTCATAATCGTCTTTTATATTTCGGTTAATAAAGGCATTTTTATTAGTAGTCTCTTTCACATCCTACAACAAAATTTAACCGGTCATCCAAATACAAAGAATTTTTACTCTTATTATTGGATATATTTAAATCTTCACAACTTTCTTTTACAGTCCATGATTCTTATACATAATTTGACTTGATGTATAAGTAATTTTATGCTACATTTTAAATCTCATAATTTGCATAGTCAATTTTGTTATTTATATCAAATACTAGCCTAAAGCTCGTGTTTTACACGTTTGACAACTTAAAATATCAAAAGTAGAAATGTTGTATAATGTTATAAATAACAAAAATATAGTCACCACTATGGCCACTATAAGTGAAAATAATAATTTTATAAATAACAATAGTATATTCGTATATTACAATTTTCCAAAACTTTTAATTGTGATATGATGCAACAGAGTTTATTTTAAAAAAGGAAGATATTTGTTTTCATGAATTTTAATTTTTCTATCTTTATATAGTAGCTTAATTTATGGAATCCTCATTTACGTTTTTTTTAAATTGATTTTATAATGTAAGAAGTTAGTGCCTAATATGCAGGAATTTACTATTAGAATGACATAGAGCAATTATAATCATGAACAAATTTGGTCAATCCCTTTCAATATCACGCTAACTTGGAAACGTTTCAAAGATTGATTCATGACAGCTAAAATTTTGGAATACTCTATAATTTCAAACCAATTTTGATATCCTTCCAAAAATAATTTTTATAAATTACTTATTATGTATAACTCATTCTAATTCATCTGTTATCACTGTCTCTTGAAATATTGAGTTTATTACAACATCGTGTGTCCAAATTTTTTGCATCATCACAGTGGAAAATCGTGTTTTCAATCACAATCACAGAGTTCAATCATTTCTGTAAGTTTATAAAAAACTACTTTCAAATTTTTTTTTTATCTTTTGTTTCTTTTTGTGTTTTTTTTAATGTGTGCGTTGTTTTTTTAACATCAGTTTATGTTTATCAATGTGTATGTGTGTGTGTACCTGCTTAACAGTTTTTATGTTCCTGTGTGTCCAACTTGATGATGAATTGCAGAACATTACAACTGACCATTCTTTGATATGAACTACTATACCCTGTTTTCCATCCTAAGTCCTTGCTTTCAACATTGGGATTCAAACTTGAAACCATTTACGCAATCTAATTAAAAAAATAATTAACTGTTATGCATGTTTCTTTTCAACTGTGTTGTTTTATGTGTTTTCCTACTTATTTGAAAGTGGTTATATTTGGTTTGTGTGATGGAATGGAAACAGGAAAAATAATGGAATGATCTATTATCACTATTATTGTGACTTTTTATTGTTTTGATGTTCATTAATTAAATTGAAAAATACTAATACTTTTTGTTGTCCCAACTATTTATGATTGATGTATGACCAAGGGTCAAAAGCGTCATTTTTACAATAAAATGTTCACTATTTTGCACATTTGGTCCATATTGACCTAAATGTGTTTTTGCATAGATTCAATCTACTTCCAATTAAAAAAAATACATATAAATATACTTGACACTTCAGTGGTTTCATTAAGCATAGCATGTAAGAAGACAAAAGAATCTTGCTTAACTTTTTAATGAACGTATATCCATTTTACATAAGGGTATTTTTGTCATTTTCAATGAATCTTTCCGTATCTTTGTCTTATTAATCTCTTAATCTCTTGTGCTGAATCTTATATTAAACCAGGTCAAAAATCGACATTCTGGCAACACATTTGACGGCCTCATCTAAAAAACGGGTTTTCCTTCTCTTTTCTTATTTTATTATTTATGAAATCCTTCCTTTATTTGTTATATCAAAATGAATATAAATTTTTTTGATGCAAGTATTAATATATATGCTTATCTATATTTTCCTAAATCTTTTAAAATTAAGTTTTTTGATAAAATCTTATTTTAGTTGTTATGTTAATATACACTTCTTTGTTGGAAGTCTTGATTTTTATTAATGTAAAGTATACAATTCTTAAATATTACCAAATTTTAACTACTATATATTAATCGTATTAATGTCTCCGTTATTATAATTTTCAATTTTAAATTTTAATGAAATTATTGTCAATATACTTTTTATTACATAATTTTTTTTGTTCTTAAGCTACAAACACGATATGGATTCAAACGAACATAAACAAAGGCGCAGATATAGAAAATTATATTTGGATCAACGAAGATCCAATGTTATGTCCAACTTGTCATTTGGTAATTCTTTATCTACATCTCAATTTACTTTCATATTCAGTAATGTTTTATATGTAACGGCTGTTGAAATATGTTTTATATCTTCTGACGTTTTATCTCATATAATCATTGCATTTTCTAATTAGCCATTCTTATTATTATATATTCAATGTAGGTATCTCGGCAACATTTATCATCTTCAAACAATTGTACACATATCGCGATGACAATGAAAATTTGAATCCAAATATATCATCATCCGCATATCAACATACAAGTTTCCAATCTACTTCAACTTTTAATATTAGAAATGCATTGTCTGATGCTGCTAGAGAGAACAGAAAACTTAGAAAATTATATTGGATAAGAAAAGATCTAATCATATGTCCACATCATCTAATGGTATATCGTTTTTTATCGGATAGACTAATTTTTATTTATACTATATTTTTAATCTCACACAATCCTCTGGATCTTAAATATTATTATGTATTACCTACACTCTTTGCTACATTGCAATTAATTAAACATTATTATTTTATAAATCGCTTATATATATTATATATATATATATATATATATATATATATATATATATCATTCTAATTATATCTTAAATTTTTTTTTTATTTTTTCTTATTATATGTAACTTACACTTATTTGTATCTGCATTATAACTTACATATTTTATATTATTTTACAGTGCTTTCTAATATAACTACCAACATTCAAACACCTTCATCAACCAAGTTTGTCAATATTGTTGGTAACAATGAAAATGTCAGCCCAACTTTGTCATGTGGATATCAGCAAACACGGGTTCAGTCTATTTCGAATATTTATATCGACAGTCCATTGTCGAACAAGGCTAAAGATAAACGAAAAGAAAGGAAAATTTATTTGGATACAAGAAGATCCAATCACATGTCCACCGTACCAATCGGTATATGATATATATCATGCATCTTACTAATTTAATTGTATCCATATAAACTTATTCTAAATAGTGTAATAAGATACTATGTTATTTTACATGTTTCTTAATTGTTCCCTAATTAATACATATTTATATGAACTTATCTTTTATTGATAGGTAATGTTGGTCGTGATCAACAACATTTTCAATATGCTTCTGATTTTTTTACAAGAACTCCGTTGTCCAACATTTCGAATGGTACGACTACGTTTATATTCAACTTACTGTTTGTTACTATATATGGTACACATAAAATAATATGTATTCATTTTTTTTATTATTTTTTATTTTTTATATATTACTTTATAAGTTTAATACTAATTGTCATACTTTATTGTTAGTAAATGCACAATATTCTACCTTGTCCGGTGACATGAGAGCTACGAATTCATCTTCAGTCACTCAAGCTTCTTCCAGCAATTTATCATGCAGAAAACTAAATAGAAAAAGAAAGATTCCAAATATATCTCAGATACCCATTTTGGACCTAACATCAGATGAAGATTTACGTGATCAACAAATCCGTCAACAGTTAATATCAGGTATTGCAAAAGGAAAATATTAATTTTTATTTATAATCCCCTTTTATATTTAAATTATTACTTGTTGCAACATTAAATTATTTCAAAGTTTTACAAATGTTTTTATTAAACAGATTACTTGGACCATGGTGACCAGACATTTGTGTGTACGATGTGTCATGCACAATTATGGACATATGAAGCTCTTAAAGGCAATACTTCCGGAAAGAAAACTTCTTATTCCATGTGTTGTGGTAACGGAAAAGTCGAGCTTCCTCAATTAAAACAAGCTCCAACAAATTATCAAAATCTCTTTCGTAATGTTGATCCAAAAGGAAAAAATTTCATGAAGAATATTCGTCGATTCAATTCGATGTTTTCCTTTACTTCAATGGGTGGAAAAGTTGATTCTTCCATTAATAGGGGCAATGCTCCATATGTTTTCAGACTTAGCGGTCAAAATTACCATTGTATGGGAAGTCTTTTACCTATAGACGGATCCAAACCAAAGTTTTCACAACTATACATATATGATACTGAAAATGAAATAACAAATAGACAACGCGCTTTCAGGTATAACTTTATTAATTTTTTTATAAACCATTACTTTTATAATTTTGATATAATTATTTACTTGCTAAATTTTACATATAACCGTTGTTGTTAACAGTACACAGAACGAAGGTTGCACATCAACTTCTCATTCTCTTGATATTGAAATCATTAGATTTTTGAAGGACATGTTGGATTCGACCAATGAGTTGGTTAAGTGTTATAGAATGGCCAGAGACTGTTTTGATGAAAATCCTCATATAGATCTAAAGTTACGTCTTATAGGAAGAAGGCAACAAGATGGAAGGACATATAACTTACCTACTGCTTCTGAGGTTGCTGCTTTAATTGTTGGTGACATTGGCGATGCAATTGATAATAGAGATATCATCGTAACAACTAAATCAGGAAGTCTACAACGTATAAACGAATTACATCGGCTTACCTTGGTCTTCAGTACCCACTACTCTTTCCATATGGAGATGATGGATATAGAGTTGATATACCTCACAGGGATGTTGATCCTTCAACTAATACCAAACGTCGTTTCTGTACAATGAGAGAATTCTTTGCTTATAGAATTCAAGACAGAGTTAATGTTTTTTCATTAATTCTTAATTCAAGAAGGCTTTTTCAACAATTTCTGGTTGATGCTTATACGATGATTGAAACTGAGAGACTATATTACATACGCAACCAGCAAAAAGTTCTTAGATGCGAATCTTATGAAACTTTAAAAAGTGTACAAAGTCATGGTAATACTGATATTTCCAATGTTGGAAAACGTGTTATCTTGCCTTCTTCTTTTACGGGTGGTGCACGCTACATGATGCAAAACTATTTAGATGCCATGTCGCTTTGTAAGTTTTTTGGATACCCAGATTTTTTCATAACCGTAACATGCAATCCAAAATGGCCTGAAATTAAAAGGTTTCTAGCTGACACCACACTTAATCCCGAAGATAGGCCTGATATCCTTTCTAGATTATTCAAAATTAAGTTGGATTCTTTGATTAAAGACTTAAAGAAGAAGAGGTTATTGGGTTTGGTCAAAGCAGGTACCATATATTACAATAATAGTGTTATTAAAATGTTTTTTTTATGTTTTTTATTATTCTTATATATTATATTTATTTAAATATACAGTTGTTTATACGGTGGAGTTTCAAAAGCGCGGTCTGCCTCACGCACATATATGTTTATTCATGCACCCTGATTACAAACTCCCTACTGTTGAACATATTGATCGAGTTATTTCGGCAGAAATTCCAAACAAAGATGATGATCCAGAATTGTACTCACTTGTCAGTGAGTTCATGATGCATGGTCCATGTGGTTCTGATAATCCAAAATGCCCATGCATGAGTGAAAACAAGTGTTCGAAAAACTTCCCGAAGCCATTCTTGGAGAATACTTCCGTTGATTCAAATGGTTATCCTATGTATAGGAGACGTAATGATGGATCTTTTATAGAAAAGTCAGGTGTTAAGTTAGACAACAGAAGTGTTGTTCCATATCACAAAACCCTTTTGAAACGATATCAAGCTCATATTAATGTTGAGTGGTGCAATCAAGCGGCTTCCATCAAATATTTGTTTAAATATATTAACAAGGGTCCTGATCGGGCTACTGTTGAAGTTGCACAAAACAACAACGGAGGTGATAATGATGATGCTCCGGTTGATGAAATAAAGAACTACTATGATTGTAGGTATTTGTCTGCGTGTGAAGCTTCGTGGCGTATATATGGATTTGATGTTCATTACAGATATCCTTCAGTTGTAAGGCTTCCGTTCCATCTTCCTGGAAAACAAAATGTTGTATACGGAGCAGATGATGATATTGAAGATGTCCTCAACAAACAATCTGTTTCTTCTTCGATGTTCTTATCTTGGATGAGCTGTAATGAACATAATGAGGATGCACGAAAACTTTCTTATGTTGAGTTTCCTACAAAATTTGTATGGAAACAAGAAGATCGTTGTTGGGAGCCAAGAAAGAAAGGGTTTTCTATTGGGAGGATTCACACAGTTTCACCTAATCTCGGTGAAGCATATTTTTTGAGAATTCTTTTAAATAAAGTCAAAGGTCCAAAATCATTTCCAGATATTCGTACAGTTAACGGACAAGTATGTCCTACTTTTAGGGATGCATGTTATGCTCTTGGACTTTTAGAAGATGATAGAGAATATATTGATGCCATCGAGGAAGCAAGTCATTCAGGATCTGGTTATTATTTACGGTTTCTATTTGCAACTATGTTAAAGTCTAATAGTTTGTCTAAACCGTGTTATGTTTGGGAAAATACTTGTCAATACTTATCCGATGGAATTCTCTACAATCAACGAATAAGATTAAAGTCTCCAGGTATTATTATTTTTGTCATTCATTACATTTTGTACATTACTTATATAATTTTTAAATGCTAAATATACTATTATTTGAAATTATATGTTTCTTATAAATATTTAAAAGTTTTTTTATACACATTATTTTATTACGTGATAATTGTCTGTATTTATCTTTTAATAATTAACTCTGCAATTGTATAGGTTTATCCCTTAATGACGATCAACTTAAAAACTTGACGCTATATGAGATTGAAAAAATTCTACTCCAAAACAATTCAAGCCTTAAAGATTTTGTTGGGATGCCTTACCCTGATCATGATTCGATATCTTCTTCAAACAACCCGTTTGATTACTGAGGAGTTAGATTTTGATATGAACAGTCTACAACAAGAATCTCATCAACTACTTGATTCATTAACAATTGAACAACGATCAGTTTTTGATGAAATCATGACAGCTGTTAAACAGAAAAAAGGAGGTGTGTTTTTTGTTTATGGCTATGGAGGTACCGGTAAAACTTTTCTTTGGAAGACTTTATCTGCATCTATAAGATCTAAAGGTGATATCGTTTTAAATGTTGCTTCAAGTGGTATTGCTTCATTGTTACTAACCGGAGGTAGAACAGCACACTCACGCTTTATAATTCCTCTAAATCTAACTGAGGATTCCTTTTGTTCTTTTGCACCGGATAGTGATGTAGCCGAATTGTTAAAAAAAACATCTTTGATTATATGGGATGAGGCACCTATGATTCATAAGCATGCATTTGAAGCCTTGGATCGTTCTTTGAAAGATATATTGAGTTGTGATTTTCGTGGAAACTCAAAATTGCCATTTGGAGGAAAAACAATTGTCTTTGGAGGCGATTTTAGACAAATTCTACCAGTTGTTCCTAATGGAAGCAGGCAAGACATTGTGAACGCTTCTTTAAGTTCCTCTTATATTTGGTCAAGTTGCAAAGTCTTAACATTAACAAAAAACATGAGGTTAAGTGTTCTCACATCTGATATTCAAGAAACTGAATCTTTTGCAAAATGGATTTTGGATATAGGAGAAGGAAAAGTTGGTGATTTGAATGATGGCGAGGCAATTATTGATGTTCCCACAGATCTTCTCATTGTTGATTCAGTTGATCCTATTGGTTCTTTAATTGGATTTGTCTATCCTTCTATTGTTGAAAATGCCAACAATCCGATTTATTTTCAAGAAAGAGCAATCCTCGCACTGAAGAATGAAGTCGTTGAAGAGATTAACGAGCGTTTGTTAAAATTATTTCTAGGAGATCCACAAGAGTATTTAAGTTCAGATACTCTTTCTCATGCTGATTTTGTTCATGATGAAGTTGATGAAACTTTATACTCTCCTGATGTTCTAAATGGTCTTAGACCTTCAGGTATGCCAATTCACAAGTTGGTTTTAAAAGTCGGTGTTCCGGTTATGTTACTAAGGAATATTGATCAAAAATGCGGATTGTGCAATGGCACGAGGTTACGGGTTATTGCATTGGGTAAACGTGTTATAGAAGCTGAAATAATATCTGGAAGTAATATCGGAAACCGTACGTTTATTCCAAGAATGTCTTTGACACCTTCGGATAAAAGGATTCCTTTCATATTTCAAAGACGACAATTTCCACTGGCTGTATGTTTTGCAATGACAATAAATAAAAGTCAAGGACAGTCACTATCGAGGGTGGGGTTGTTTTTGAGACAACCAGTTTTCACTCATGGACAGTTGTATGTTGCATTGTCGAGAGTTAAAAGTAAAGCTGGATTAAAGATATTAATTTTAGATAAAGATGGTAAACTTACCAACACGACATCTAATGTTGTATTTAAGGAAGTCTTTGGAAATTTGTAATTCATAAAAATAGGTGTCAATATTTTAATAGTTGTTTTTATTATTATACATTAACTTTACTTACTTATTCATCATTTTGTTTTTTTATATGTAGCAAATTTTAATTAATTTGTGTTTAATGTTTACATCATTATTGTCGTCATCATTTTACAAATATGTATCATTTTATTAGGGTCGATATATTGAAATAGTAACTTTATTCATTATAGGATTTTGTATTTATGTAAAATTATTACAAAAAAACATGTAATTCTTAACAATTTATATTAATTTTTTAATAAAAATCCGTGTAATACACGGGTCTCACACCTAGTTCTTTATTAAATCTAAATTAAACTTAATGGTCATACCAATGTCTAGTAATTGTTGGGCCTTTATTTTATTTTTGTCTTAGGCCCTAAATATGCTTTGAACCGACCTTGATCTCTTGCTTTCAAGTTCATAGAATGTTCATAAGGCTAGTGTGATTAAGAGCCACCATGGCGGCGTCACAATTGATTATGTCGACTCAATTTGATTATGTTGTTGATTTTTCAAAAAAATTAACTCTTCGATCCCGCTCGATTTGCAATCAAATGTTGAAAATCCATGGCATCATGTTGTATCTTGACGGTACATATGTAAAGAAAATCTCCCTTATGAAAATGATAAAGTGTGAAATGTATAAAAAGTTAAAAACTAAAAAAATATCATCAACATACTTCTCTGATTTTGGTGGGGTTAATTGCAATAAATAAAATTATGTACATTCATTCTGCTTATTACATGGCCTTTGGAAAATCTATCAGACTATAACAATGTCATTTAAATAAAATTTCATATGTACAAATTACATTTTCCCTGCCGGATGTTTCATTTCTTTTTGTATGGAAGAATTAAAAAGACCTTCAAAAATTATATTTACATAGGTAGTTGATGTTACATTACTCAAAAAGAGAGGGAAGAAATATGGGGTAAGCTAAATGTGATGGGTTTTTGGGCTCCATAACTTAAAATTTGATAAAATGGCTAAAATGGAACAACAATAAAAGGTTAATGATTTTGTGTGTATAGTTAAAATTGGTTCAGGATTTTGTGTGCACAATTGAAATTATATAAAATGCCTTAATCATAACAAAATTCAAAGGTTTATCCACTGTAACAAGTATTGCAAGTATTGGGGACAGTTGCTAGGAGAACACTTTTTTTTTTTTGTTTTTGTTTTTGTTTCTGCCGTATCAACGTACTTTAATTCATCTATATTTAGGTAAAAATATTAATAAGTTTTTTTAGGTTATTGTGTAATTGTAATAGACATTTTCCATTAGGCTAGCTTAAACTTACATTTAGGTTTCGTTCATTTATATAATTTTTTCCATTTATCCATTTCTATAATTGGTAAATTATTTATAAACACGTATTTTTAATAATTATATTAGAAAGTAACATTATTATTAGCCTGTTACCTAAAGTAATCATGTTGGATAGACATTTTCCATTAGGCTAGCTTAAACTTACATTTAGGTTTCGTTCATTTATATAATTTTTTCCATTTATCCATTTCTATAATTGGTAAATTATTTATAAACACGTATTTTTAATAATTATATTAGAAAGTAACATTATTATTAGCTTGTTACCTAAAGTTCTAAAAAGCTCGTCACGGCTTCTTCATTGCTCCAAGGCTTACTTGACGCCACACTTTAACAACATGTCGCCTTGAGTCATATATGTATATAAAAATAAATAATTGTAGAAAATATATATACTATTAATTATATACAAAATTGCCGCTTTAAGTCATGTCATACAAACGTCATGGCTTGTAAAAGCTCGAGGCTTGGCATTTCCGCGAAATCATGCCTAACGTTTATTTAGAACCATGATATTACCTATTTACTTGAAAACAAATGCAAAATATTTCACATTTATGGGTAAAGAAATATATATTGTACTCATTGGTAAAAAAATACATTATCTTTATTGGTAAAAAAGTAAAGATGGTTGTTATTTCTTGCAATTTATTCTTATTTAGTTCCTATTTTCCGTAAAATTGGTTGTTATTTCCTGTATGCAACATATTGATGTTGCTTAATCACGGATACTATTTGTGCCCGGTTAATATGGTCAAACTTGTGGGTACTTTACTTTCTTTCTTTTTGTTTTTAAGATTTTATGTGTTTGTACACATTGTTGTTGTGATTGATGGCCAAAAGAGTTCTAAGATTCATCGGTTACTGCTTAAAGAAACTGTTTGTGAAACCTAAAAAAAGAAAGTAATAATTTACTGTATTTAAGATATCAAAAAAGCTAGATCATTGACCATTAAACATTGAAGATCGATGCAAATGAATACTTAATCAGATTTATGAAAATACAAGACATAAAGTAATGTTGTCTAGGATAATTGTTTTATTTCTAATAGATGATTAAATGGACCAAAGAGCCTTTGGTTTAGAGGTAATGAGTGAATCTTTCAAATGAGAGGTCATGAGTTCAATTAGAAGACATATGTGATATTTATTATTTAGTAGTAGTATAGTTAGTTTACCGTTAAAAAAAATTAAATTAAATGGCAAGTATGTACTTTTCAACTTGTAAGTTATTGAGAAATACATTATCTTTTATAATGTTTATTTCATCTTGTTTAATATTTATTTTAATCATTACATAGATGTATTACACTAGTATTAACCTAGTGTATGTATATATGTATGTGCATTAATTTCAATAATTTATTACTTATAATATTTTACATTTGTTTCGTATAGTTTCCGAAAATAATTTACTTTCATATATGCAAACTTGTATAAATATTTATAAGAAAATAATTTACTTTATTTTTTTTTGGAAACAGCGAAATTTTATAAAAAACCACAGCCTATACAGAAAACAAGACTTGGCAAAGAAAACAAAAGCAAAAATAGAAAACAGAGTACAAACAAAACGATTACATTATATCAAAAGGAGAGCAAACCCAAATCGCCCATTTACAATTCTCGTAATTACCTTTATGTTTGATCCAACCAAACACCATAGCGAGCACACTATCCACCAACATAGAAAGAGAAGCGCTCATATTATTAAAAATGTTGTCATTTCTCGCTTTCCAAATACACCATAAGAAACTATATAGTATGGCCAACAAAATCTTCATTTTTTTTGGACAATTTCTCCAAGTTGCAGCAAATTGTACAAGCTCTCCAACTGAATTAAAATTCTGCCACGGGATACTACACCAATTGAAATTAAAATTCTACCACGGGATACTAGACCAAGTTGCAGAAAATAATTTACTTTAATACTTGTAAACTTGTAAAATAAAAGAAATCTCCATAAATATATAATTTTCAAACATGTGTTTCATGACATTTAACTAGAAATTTGGAATATGATTTTCCAAGTATGTTGGTTTATGAAAATCTTATAACGTAGGGGATTAAAATTATTGTATTCGAAAATAATGGTTTAGTTTGAAAATCTTAAATTCTCGAACATAGTTGTTGTATGAGTTTTT